CAATAAAACTCAGCTGATCATCCCTCGCAGTACCTTCATTCTTGGACCACGTATTTCTGCCTTTGTTAAATAAATATTGCCATAACACAAACAAACAGCAGATCTGGTTGAGCTCTCTTTTACTTGCAAGGAGTCCAAAATGCAAACAAGGTACTTACATACTGTTGCCAGTAGCATGAACTGAATTTTTGTATAGCAGTCAGGTTTTTAAAGAGTCCCCTTCAGTGTTGTCCTGTTTACGACCATGCAATCTCCTGTTCTTCACAGTACCTCCAGTTCCTTTACCCCAACCTACCTGTCTAAATAGCGGGTCATAAAAGTAACTCTACTCTACAAGCTAAATAAACAAATTACAAAGATAAGCATTCACATCTGTGTTTTTACGCACAACATTCCCATCCACAAGCCAYRAATTCAGTTAAAGTAGATAAACACAGATCAACAAATATTATATCCCACAATTAGATGAACCATAATGTTTTTTAAATCACAATTTAACCAACAGTTTGAGATAACTGATGGGTKTACATTTMTTCCATCTGACTGGTACAGGTGAGYCAGTACACWTTTGCCATGTGCAGCTACAGAGAGAAGAAGGCTGAACCTGTGGAGCTTCTTCAGCTTGATGGCTACACTGTGGACTACACTGACCCTCAGCCAGGTGAGAGGAACCACAATTTGTTATTATCTTTGTTATGTTAGCTGTTGTTATCAKCTGTCTTAACCCATTTTCTTTACAAAAGCTCAAAATTGTATGTAATATGTCCAAACTGTGTAAACAAACATTATTGTCTAATTTGTTTTGTTGTTCTCATTGATCCAGTTAAATCAGATATGATCCATGAATTATTCATCATTGTCCACAATCTCTGGTATATCGTTTGGATTTAATGTTTGTCATATAGCTTTAAACCAGAAAAATGTTATACCGTCTAGTTTATCCTGTAATTCCTGTTCTAGAATACCTATAAGGGGAGTTAGGAATATCCATCTGTCCATCCATTATCTTCTTCTTTATCCGAAGTTGGGCCACGGGGTGTTACGACCCCTTCCTTTAAACAAGGGGCAGCAACACGACAACCACAATAAATAGACAAGAGTCACTGCAAAGGTGTAAAAAAAGTTTTATTTTCTTTATTCTGCTCCAAAAGGCTGCACAAACTGTGGGGGARAAAGSGACTATTAGGTGTGGTGCCAAACAAAAGAAACAAKCAAAACAAAACAGRGCCTKTCTACATTCTGGTCTAAATRGAAAACAATGAAAGAAAAACACCCTGATAAACTTCTCTAAAAATGGTCTCACCAAAACATTACATGGGTGGCACCAACCTACTTACCTAGTGTTTTTAACATAAAGTTACCTAYGTGATGAAAAAATGTACAGGGTACCCCAAACTTACCTAGTCCTCTTAACTCCCACCACAAACCTTTAAACAATGGAGCAGKTTCCACAGGAGCAGCAGCARCACAGGTGCACCAGGCAATCAGCAGCAGAATCAGGGAAGAGAAGAAGCCAGCCCAGTCCCCCAGGTGAGCTTCTTAAATAGGGTGTGGTGTAGTCCTGGTTGGTCTGTTCAAACCTTTCCATCCAATCAGTTTTAAAGATCCAAATTGGCCCCAGCCTGCAAACTGAATCGAAAAGAGAGAAGAGAGAAAGAGGAGGAGGAAAACAGTCTGCCAGACACGTAACACGGGGGCAGCAGCTTGACCAAGGGAGCCCAGAGCTCTCTTTCCCCTGCCACCTCTTGTAGCTCTTCTGGGAGGATTCCAAAACGTTCCAAGGCCAGCCGAGAGTCTCTCCAGCATGTCCTGGGTCTTCCTCTGGGTCTCCTCCTAGTTGGACATGCTTGAAGCACCTCCCTAGGAAGGTGTTCAGGAGGCATCCTTACTAGATGCTCAAACCACCTCAACTGGCTCCTCTCAATGTGGAGGAGCAGTGGCTCTACTGTGAGTCCCTTCCGGATAACTGAACTTCTTACCCTATCTCTAAGGGAGAGTCCAGCTACCCTGTGGAAAAAACTCATTTTGATTGCTTATATCTGTGATCTTGTTCTTTTGGTCGCTACCTAAAGTTCGTGACCATACGTGAGGGTAGGACTGATTGGTAAACAGAGAGCTTTGCCTTACAGCTCAGCTTCCTCTTCACCACAACAGACTGGTACAGAGTCTGCAAAACTGCGGAAGCTGCATCGATCAGTCTATCAATCTCATGCTCCATTCTTCCCTCACTCGTGAACAACAATCCAATATACTTGAACTCCTCCACTTGAGTTGGTGACTGTGGCAGAGTAGTGGGCAGCTGTGGCAGAGTGGTTAGGGGAGTCGTCCTGGAACTGGAAGTTCACCGGTTCGATCCCCCATTCCAGCTGTCTCAGTTGTTGTGTTCTAGGGGAAGACACTTCACCCTAATGCCTCTGATGTGTGTCCCATCAGTGTATGAGTGTGATTGGTACTGATTAGTCTCCATAGATCATTGTGCATGTTAGCTTTTTAGAGACCTAATAGAGTGCTGTGTGAATGGGTGTATGAGGGCACATRTTGTAGTGTGAAGTGCTTTGAGTAACCTGGTTGGGTAGAAAGGCGCTATACAAGTACAGTCCATTTCTCATTTGAGGCAGAACTTCACCCCCAACCCAGATAGAACAATTCACCCTTTTCCGACTGAGGACCATGGACTCAAATTTGGAGGTGCTGATCTTCATCCCAGCCGCTTCACACTCAGCTGCGAACCGCTCCAGTGAGAGCTGAAGATCCTGGCACAATGACGCCAACAGAACCACATCATCTGCAAACAGCAGAGATGAAATCCTGAGGCCACCGAACCAGACTCCCTCCACCCCCTGGCTGCATTGAGAAATTCTGTCCATGTAAGTTATGAACAGAATCTGTGACAATGGGCAGCCCTGGTGGAGTCCAACTCCCACTCTGAAGGGGTCCGACTTACTACCGGCAATGCGAACCAAACTCTTGCACCACTTGTATAGAGACTGAATGGCCCTTAACAACGGACCCAAAATCCCATACTCGAGTAGCACCCCCCACAATGTACCAAGTCCACAAAACACATGTAGACTGGATTAGCAAACTCCCATGACCCCTCGAGCACCATAGTGAGGGTAAAGAGATGGACCAGTGTTCCACGGCCAGGACGGAACCTGCATCATTCCTCCAGAATCAGAGGTTCAACTATCAATCGGACTCTCTTCTCCAGAACCCCTGAAAAAAGCTTACTGGGGAGGCTAAGGAGAGTGATGCCCCTGTAATTGGAGCACACCCTCCGGTCCCTTTTTTTTTAAAAAAGAGGAACCACCACCCCAGTCTGCCAATCCAGTGGCACTGCCCCCAATGTCCATGCAATGTTGCAAAGGCGTGTCAACCAGGACAGCCCCACAACATCCAGAGCCTTGAGGAAATCAGGGCGGATCTCATCCACCCCTGGAGCACTGCCGCCATGGAGCTTTTTAACTACCTCAGTGACTTCAACTCCAGTTATGGACAGACCAGCCCCAAAGTCCTCAGACTCTGCTTCCTCCATTGAAGGTGTGCATGTGGGATTGAGAAGATCTGAGAAGTATTCATTCCACCTCCCGACGACATCACTGGTTGAGGTCAACAGCACCCCACCTTCACTGAACACAGTCAGGTGGTAATCAGTTTAAAGCTCAGCTCCTCTCTTCAACCCAGTGTCCAAAACATGTGGCCACAGATCAGATGACACGACTACAAAGTCAATCATCAATCTGCGACCTAGGGTGTCTTGGTGCCACATGCACTTATGGACACCCTTATGTTTGAACATGGTGTTTGTGATGGACAAACTGTGACTAGCACAGAAGTCCAAAAACAGAACAGATCAGGTTTGGGTTCAGATCAGAGTGTCCGTTCCTCCCAGTCACGCCTTTCCAGATTGCAGTCATTACCACGTGGACATTGAAGTCCCCCAGCAGAATAAAGGAATCCCCAGTTAGAGGTTGGAGTCAGGAAGGTTTTTAATAGAAAAACCTGTGATACCATAGTTCTCAGTTGTAAACTCCTTGTCCCTTAATCCAATATATCATCAATTTTGATGAGATGTCAAGTTTTTTGTAATGTCATTGATCTTTCATATTTTCTCAAATTCTGGAAGATTGGGTCTCATGCAAGAACCATTCGTACGCACAGATTTATTCTTAAATTGTGTGTACGAGTGATTGAGGAGAATTTGTGGCATTCACCAATGTTTTTGTATTCTAAGATTTTTTTCAGATACGAACNGGTTTTCTTCACTAATAACCTTATATTTCGTTAGTTTGAAGATATTTTGAGTTGAAAATAAATTACACTCCATAATTATGTTGACAATAGGCTATTCTGCTTGAATTAGAGTTAAAATTTTAAATGTAATAATTTAGACTAACAACATAAATTCTACGTCCGGCCGGCTTATCCGGGATCGGGTCGCGTGGGCAGCAGAGACCCCGCTCTCCCCAGCGACACCTTCCAGCTCATCCTGGGGGACTCCTAGACGCTCCCTGGCCAGAGGTGATACACAATCCCTCCAGCGAGTCCTTGATTTTCTCCAGAAAAGTGCCAGAAATATTTTGAAAACATTTTTAAATGCTTATTTCAAACCCGCATCTGAGACCACCTGCGACAGCGCAGCTGATATCTGAGGCAGGAAACATAGCCTTATATGGTGTTTTTGGGGTGGTAATTATGCTAATCTCCTCTCGAGTGCACGAGTAGCTGGATACGAACAGGTGCAATTTACGCAGCTCATTTACACACTTTTCCTGAAGATAGAAGAGTTTGTTGAATGTGACGTGGCA